TCGAGTCGGTTCCGACCCATAGCGACCCTGTACAGGGTTTCCAAGGGTGTAAAAATTTACAGCCTTGGAAACCCTGTACAGGGTCACTATTAGTTGCAACCGACTCGACAGCACTCAACAACAACAACAAGCCTCAGATCCTTCATGTCTAAATGGGGATAATGTGCATCCATCATTGACTCCTTTGCTTTCCTATTCATGCTCTATTTAGCGTTAATAGTAAGATTGTGAGTAATACTAGTAATGCTGTTGTTGTTAAGTGCTGTCAAGTTGGTTCCGACTCATAGCGACCCTGTATAGGTTTCCAAGAAGTAGCTGGTGGATATCAACCACTGACCTTGTGGTTCAGTCTAGTTCTGATCCTACAGCACCATACCAGAAATCCAAAATAATAGTAATAGAGAACTCATAATAGCGCTTATTATAAGCACTTGGGTGCTGTCCTAAATCTTTACATATATGAACTTATTTAGTCTTCCCAACAGCCCCATGAGGTAGGTACATTATTATTCCTAATTTTGAGGGGAGATGGAGATCAGCCTTGACTCAGGCAAATCTCCTAAAGGACAGTCTCAGACCCTACTGACTCAGCTGCTCACTGGGCCAGCCTCAAGTAGCCTGTTCCTCAGACACGTTCCCCTGACTTCCTGTGGGCACAGACTGAGGGCCAAGGCCCTGGCTGGGCCACTGGCTCCAGGAAGACCCAGTCACCCACGATGCCCGAATGCTCACTTGCACCCAGGGTGGGCTCTGGGCTCTGGCTGCCTTAGTCTGGGCTGGGTGCCCAGAACAGGCAGCCCTGGCTGGATGGCTTTTCCTGGCTCTGGCCATGGGGACAGGAGGCGGCAGCAGCCCAGCTGGGCCCTGGCAGTAATGAGGCCTCATTAGCGGGATCCAGCTGCTCCAGCCCCACTTAGGGAGGCCGACTCCCCCAGCCCTTGCCTCTGACTTTTCTGAATAAGAATCGGCACACTTCCAGAGGGGCAAGGAGTCTAGGGGCTTTGTTGTCCCCTGTGACCAGGAGGGAAGGTCCTGCTGAGCTCGGACTGCAAAGTGCTGGGGATGGGGGAAAAGTGAGGGCACAGGACTGAGTAGGGGGACTCAGGAAGGCTGGAAGGGTTACAGTGAGAGGAAGGGAGGGAGGGAGGGAGGGCAGGGTCCTAGGGCCAGATTAGACGTCTGAGGAAGGTTGACTTTTTTTGGATTTGGACAGGGAGGGGCAGTTGTACATCTAGGATCGGTGGCATCTCATTGCTCAGGTTGTCCTGGCTAGGTGAGCATCTTCTCTGTACCAGGCACCATGTCAGGAGAGTGCCCCCTATGTGTCAGGAGAACACCCACTGTGTGCCAGCTTCATGCCAAGTAAGCTTCTATGGTGTATCCTAGGTCCTCCATTAGGTAAATGTTCATGTATGTCAAATTCTGGGCTAGGTGAGGACCCAGTGTATGCTAAACCACGAGTGGGGTGGTCAGTATGTGTCTGGCACTGCGCTACAGGAGTGGCCACCTGTGACAAACTCTATACTGAGGGAATACCCAATGTGTGACAGTCAGTACTAGTCAAGCACTTGCCACATATTAAGACTTGGGCTGGGTGAGTGCCCGCTGTCTCCAGGTCCTGTGATGAAGGTGGCAGACAAGAGGTGTCAGAGCCTCAAGTCAAAGTACGACAGAACAGGTGAGGTGTGGGGCAGTCTGAGGCAGCCTATGGTGAATTCAGATGCTCTGGCCCCCAGAATCTTAGCCTAGGTGATTTCGTTCTCATTCGTCATGAGGCAGAAACATTCACCATTGGTAGAAGCAACAAGTATGCTAAGAGACATGGGACGAGGTCAAAGAGGCGCACCTTGACTGGCCAAGAGGGGAGGGGAATGAGTGGGCCAGCCTGTGAACTTGAACTTGGTGATAAAACCATGCTTCAAGTAGAGCCAGCTGGGGGCTCTTTATCTCCTGTCTTGGGTTCCTCTCCTCCAGTTCCCCTGTCCTCTGAGACCCAGGCAGTCCCACCACTTAACATGTATACAGAAGCACTAGGTCTCCAAGGAAGAACCACACTACCCTACGCCAACATCCCCGAGCATTCCAGCTGCTCACAAAAGCTGGGAGGCACCACAGCCAGCTGGGTTCTTGCATGGCCCTGTCCTAAGAGCTTCTGAAGTGTGAGGGAGGCAGTTGAGCTAGCCTGGAAGAGACCATCTGGGCTGTGGGGTAAGAAGCATGTGCAGTCAGCATGTGGGCCTGGACACGTGCTGGGAAGTGATTTGTTTCTCCATGGGACACCTGCTCCAGAGCCCAGTAGAAGTTCCAAGGATGACACAGGTGTCTGTCAACACTGAAGAAACCCGAGAAACCCATGTTCTTGCACCCAAACCTGGGGCAAAGAGATGGAAGTGAGAAGCCCATGGTCAGAGGTCAGTTATATCCTCTCTACATATTGGGCACAAATGAGACAATAGAGGCACAGAGACCAGGGAAGGAAGGTCCAAATGGGCTTACAAACACGATCCTTAACATCCTCTCTTTTGACTGCTCAGAAAAGGGGCTGTCTGAAAGGAATTTCTCTCATCACTTTCCCTTAGGAAACATAACAACCCAATAACGTGCCTATGTAGTTGTACACAGAGCTTGGCATGTGCTGCCCTCAGCACCTCAAAGGCTGAGTCCTAGAGACCAGCCCTGAATGGAGTCAGCTTCAGTTCCACTCTGGACCCGGGAATAGAGTAGCTTGAGGTCATCAGTAGAATTGAAAAGGAGGCAGGAATAGAATCTCTGAGCAACCAAGGGGAGTGCCCATGGGACATATGCTATGAGCCTCAAGCTCAAAGCAGCGGGCAGGAGCCAAAGGGCAGAGGACACAGAGGAAACTGAACTCCAGC